TTTGTTTCACAACCCTCAATCGACTTTGCGTAAATCAGTAATCAATTCGCCTTGTTCCAGGTTTTGATCACAGCCGAGGTTTCCTGAAGGATTGGAAGTTGACTTTCTACGGTTCTTCCATGACACCAGAAGAGATACAGAAGAGACAGAGGTAAAAACATTTTTTTTTCCGCAATCGAAGCGCAGCTTGTAAGAATAATCTCTAATCCGGCACCTCCGTAAATAGGAAATGAAAAGTTTTGGGAGAGGAACTCACTATCAGGAATTAATGATTTTCTTTAAAAATTTCCTTTATGAGTAACTTATGCATTCTTTTTTTTTTTCAGATTGGTGGAGGAAGCTTCTAGTGGCCAGTACCTTCACAGTAACGATACTCCACCTTGTCCGCCCAGGCCCCCGCTGTACGCACCACAAGATGTTGTGTCCGAGAGAACGCTCAAGGTAGACTTGTGATACTTGAAACGTGATTTTTTCTATTCTTTGGATGCGTAAGATGACAATCTGACGAGAACTTGCAGTAGATAACGTGAATTCATAGGAATTTCACTTTTAGTGTTTTTGGTTCAAATCGCACGACGGTTTGTTAGATTTAAGCTACGCTAATCCAATCAGATATGATATCAATGCCACATTATCAGTGCTATGTTTCGTTTCCTTTTTTAAGTAGTCGCGTCTATATTCATCGAGTTCTTAGAGTTTTAGTCTGTTGTTTTCCCCTTTTTTTTTTTTTACCTTTTTCTCGTCCTCATAAATGTCAGTTATGGTCAATGGTGAATCTCAACAAAAAATATTGTTCTTCGATATAGGTATTGCTTTTGCTCGGCGGCTTCTGTCTATTGGTGTCCATTTACTATACTGTCGACGTCGTGTTCGATTGCGAGGCTAGTGACGAGGGAAGCGCAGACACGGCGAGTGGAGAGCCACAGGAGGAGACTCCTCTGTTGTCTAACAAACTGGCTGAAGAGGATCAGATTAGACTAAGGTAACGTTTATGATCATAATCTGAGCTCATTTTTGGTCATCACGGAGCTATATATGATGAGCAATTCTTTAAAGAAATTCTTTGACGAAGATAAAAGTTCATAAAGAGATGAGAAAAGCGACAGTTTATTAAAAAAAGGCAATATTTTTCTTTTTTTCTTTTAATTGAAATCATATCGAAAGATATTTTGATAGTTAAGTTGAGGTCAACGCCAAGCCGATTACACGAGGTTTTCTTTTTTCATCATTCTTTCTTTCGCTGACTGATGCTCTGGCGTTTGAGTTACTAGGAGCTCTTTGGTGAGCATAGTGGACTATGTGATGACCTCATGGTTTGAAGTAGAAATGGCCAACTGTAAGGGAAGTCTGATGAAATGCTGGGGGTGGGGGGTAGACTTGTGATGGACTGGCATCCGAACTAGGGGAGAGTAGAAACACTTTTAGAAGCTTCATGCTATGGAAACCGGGATAAGCTCAGAGTGCATAGGCCAATTGGCTCAAGTACAGACTTAAGCTCTGGTGAGCTTGTGAAAAGAACTATGTAGGGACACAGCTGACAAGCATTCCGTGTATTGCAGAGATTGGCGATGTCAAACGCGTCCTGTGTAGATGTACAGGAGAAAAGATAACAGACCTTCATTTCAATCTTCGCAAGGGTAGATCCTGGAATTTTTGGCATGGAGAAGTTGGAAAGGGGGGCGGGGGGGGGGGGG